ATACAGGTGATGTCTTCCGTTTGCTGTCAGGACTGATAGCTTATTGGTGTGTTTCTGTACATATTTTCAGAAGAGAAAAGATGATTCCTGTGGCTGTGAAAGGTCACTGAAACAACTCTGAAATCTCCCTTTCGGGGAGGATTAACAGTGTAGAGCTGTAGCAGCAGGGACTGTCTGAATAAGCCGACTGGAAATATGCAAACACCTACCTAATATGTGATTTTTAAAAAATGTTTTGTTGTACTTTTTGTAGCGTTCTCAGTATTGTCTTTATCTAACTATAACACATTGCGAGTTGGTGTCAAGCAAACGATTCTTTCTACAGCCAATTTGCTCATTTTGCTTTCAGTTCAGCAGGTTAACACTGGAACACTATTGATGCAAGCTGACTGTCGCTGAACAGCGCCAGTGGTTTCTATACTTAGAACTGACATACCAAGACAGGATGGTTGAGCTCCTAATGCACAGCCAAGTGGAGCAGAGTGCAGGTCCAGGCAGACTGGAGAGCAGGATATGATTTGTATTTTATGCCCTTATGGAGCTGAACAACATGATTTAATGTTTGTTTGATGCATTTTCTTTCTGTGTCCATAATTTTTTGCAGCCCTCATAAATATGCGTAAAACAAACTGTTTCCTTTTTAGTTTTTACTTTATTGCATGTGAAAATAACACAACTGAGCACATTTATTCATGCAGTGGGGGGAATCCCAGTTAAATCCCCTTAGGGTAAATAAACTCTGACGCACTCCAATGGGATGCCCAGGGCGACGGAAGTGAAACTAGCCCACAGCAATACAGATCCTCCACCGTACCAAGCAGGTGGTTTTGAGCTCCTTTCCTACACAGTCATCTTTGTTTCACAACAACCTCTGCTGTTTTCATTTTTATTTTTTTGCCAAAAATCTTGGTCCCATCTGACCAAAACACAAGGTTTCAGTAAAATTCTTAGTGGGATGCTTTTGAGCTCATCTCCTATGAGCTACTGGGAACCAGTAACTGCCAGTTGCATTCATATCGATTTCCGATCCAACTCTGTAGTGACGAACCTTGATCAGCTTCGAGTCTGTAACCATGGCGACGTCTGAGCCAGCGCTTGGGGCTCAAATAAAACGGTAACTACAGCCTGAATGAAGGTTAATTTCTGACACTCAAGTGCCTAGCAGCAACAGCTTCGTTTTTAACATAACTGAGCTGATTCTGCTAACCTATGTCGACGTTTTCACGTGGTTTTGAAGTGACGAGTGTTGAAGAAACAGCAGCTGTTTGAAAGACGTTTTAATATCGGTGACTGAATATATCAACTACTGTACAGGTCCAGATTTACTATGAATTTTGTAAGACTAACTGCCTTGCGGAGTATTTTTGTCTGAGGTTTTATTGTTCTTATACAAGATTCCCAGTTCATTCCAACACTTTTTGGGCTGATATTTAAGGACAGCTTCATTTTAAAATGATTTTTAAAAATGACATTTAATGTCTGCTTCTCTACAGAGAGGACAGAAAGACAATCAGAAAAATGCCAAAAAAAGTTGGCGGTTTTGCTCCTTAATCGGATAAAATTGGATGACAACAGCTTTAATAGAAAAAAACTTTATGCTGCGGCAGAAGATATTGTGGAGTTTACTTTGGTTGCAGCTGTTTTTGTAACTCCTTGATTTGTGCCAATTGAATGTAACATAGCTACTAAATAGCATCATCTGTCCAGTCTATAGTGATGACGGTGTATCTGTGGGAGTTTGTTCAAATATCAGATTCTGCAAATAAAACTGGATGTTCAAGATGCAGTGATTTGTATTCATCTGTTCCCTGTGTGTGTGTATTTTATATATTCCTGTATTATGCAGCACTCATCATGATTAGCGCCTTACCTGACAAAAAAACGATAAAATCCAGAAGGAAAAAAATGCCATGCTTTCTGGAATAAGTACCTGGTAGCTGTTCAAGATAGGAAAGACAAGAGAACCTGCTATTCAGTGAGTTGGTTTTTGGACTTCAGATCCATGTGACTCATAGTGGATTTGTTCAAACTATAGTTGTTTTGCCATCATGGAGCAGGAGGATAAAAGAGAGTAAACTAACAAAAAGTGACATCTTGGAGTCATCAAATCTCTATAACATTCAGATTGATCTGCATCCCAACCATATGTTTTGAAGGCATATTACAGAGAGTAACCTTTAGTCAGCATGTGATTTGATAAATTATACTGAAACTATACCTGGAATAAGGATTTTGGGTCAGATGAGATTAAGATTGAGCTTTTCGGTAATTGAGATTTGTCTGGTCTAAAGTATAAACTATGTTATGGGTCCAACTACATGAAATGTTCTAGGCGAAATACATCAACTGTCCTATTTGCAAAAGAGATACAACTAAAGAAAATTAGAATATTGTGAAAAAGTTCAAAATATTTTATCACACTTCATAATATAAAACTCACGCAGTGAAATATTTTAGGCCTTGTTTTCATGTAATTTTCAAGACTATGCCTTATAAATATCAACACCTAAAATTCGGTGACTCAGAAAAATAAAAGAGATCAATTTAATATGTATATTTTTTAAATTACACTATGCAACACAATGGTCCTTGAACCTCCTTTCCTTTCTGTGGTACTTGGTTTTGAAATTCACCTATTTATTTCTAGCTTAGTTTATTTTAATTTAGTCAATAGACCTTTTTTTGAAATACAATTTCAACAAAAGAATTGAAACTAAAAGTATGCTAAGCCTTATTTTTTAGTAATGTTAATTATTTTCTCTGTGCTGCCTTTGTTCCCTTCACTCAGTCCACAGATAGTGTGTAGTGACATATTTTATCCACTGGAGGGCGCTTTGCGCTCATTAATCCAGGGCCTCCTCGGAGCTGCAGCGCCTCATAAGATCCGGCAGGGGGCGGAAGAGCCTCGTTCTTGTAGCGTCAGACAGACACTCAGCTGAAGAGCTTCGCTTTATTTGACCGAGGCCGCATTCACGCTTTGAACTTGACCGTGAACGCATTCAAACGCTGTGAAGCAAATGAAAATGGATGAATAATTTAATTAAATTATATTAAATCTTTTATTACGATGTCTGAGATTTGGTTTTTATTTAGATTCTTTCTTTCTTTGCCTAAAGAGTCATTTTGAAATTTGATTTGAGCGTGAATGCTTGTATTCTTTCTAAATCAGCAGTTATATTTGCATTGCTCTCTTTCCGGATAGCGAGACTCTTTGTGTACATTTTTCTTGATGTGGGAAATAAAAGGAACAATAACAAAGCAGCTAAAGGGAAGACAGAAGCCTAATTAGAGACTGAAGAAGAGAGGGAAGGATGGGGGCTGATGGAGGATGTGGTTGCTATAGATACTTGGCATGATGCCGGATGGAGGCAGAGCCAATTTGCATTCATTCAGATGATGGTTGCACCCACAATAAAAACGTCACTGGACACATGGCTTTCATTTCTATTTTGTATCCTTTAAGTTAAATGTTAAAACTGTTTTTTTTATTCCCATACATAAAATACATACATAACATATTAAAAACTAATTTAGTGCATTAATTTGTCCTACCTGCACCTAAGGAAATTTACTAATGCCTACAAATAAATGTATTATTTGCACTGTTCAAATCTTTCAGCTCATATAGTAATTATTTTTTGCTGGTCTAAGTGCAATAGTGCTTTTAAAAATATACATTGTTAGATTTTTTTTTTTACACTTACAGCAGCTGAAGAAATTATTTTTCTCTTTTGTTCAAATCACAAGCAACTTCAATAAAAAATAAAATAAAATAAAATAAAAAATACACATATCCCACACCATAAAGGCCAGTGCAGAGTTTTGCAGGCCTAAATGATTCCCCAAATTTGACAGCCAGAAAAGAAACTGCAGAAAAAAAAAACATTTTAAATGTCATTTTCTTTTTTTAAATGGGAACCATTTTATTTCATTCTAACCATTCATATTCAATATTTTTGACTTTGATTTGAACCAGAGATTTGGCTTTTAATTACCTCAGCAGCAGCTTAGTTTAACTTCATCAGGCCTCTAAAATGCTATTCCTTTTTTTTTTCCAATATATTGTACAAATTGTTTTTTCTTTCACCAATTAATAGTTTAGGCTTTTAAGTGATGTTAAAATTAATTACTTGAACAAAATAAACAACAAGAGCAGTGAATAAATTTGACAATTATATGTTTGGGATAAGAACTAAAATAGACGGCAAGCAAATACTAAAATTAGAGACAAAAGATGTTGTATAAACATTTATTTACTGTACATAACATTTTACATTCGCCAACCAGGGCCATTTATTCTATCAAGACTATAGAATAAAAAGAACACTATCAAGAGTTTCTTTTTGTGACAACCTAATTACACAGGGGAACAAAACCATTGGAACACAGGAATACATTTGTAGAACAATTTAAAGGAAACACATCACCCTAAACAAAGATATATATATATATATATATATATATATATATATATAAATAATCAATTGTTGTATTTCTGTTCATTAGATTGCTAAATTAAATGAGATAACAGTATTTTTATTTAACACATCAAATATAAAATCTCAGACAGTAGAAGGAAGGAAACCTGGAGGTGAAAATAATAATGCAATCTAAAACCGTAACACATTGTAATGAAGTCAGCTGAACTTTAACAAAAACATTATTTTTTATGTTTTCATTAACCAAGACAATTTGTTAGCAGTAAAACATTGTTCGAAGGAGAACTGAAGAGAAAACATGTTTATGTACCAAATAGTTGAGCTGTTACTGCTAAGTTAAGTGGTGAACTTAAAATTAACGATTAATTGTTGAGAAAATGTGAAATAATGTTTAGTTGGTCACATCTGTGAGTCAAATGTTCCAGCATCTTTTCAATCTGCAATACAAGAAGAAGAGAAACAAAATTAACATGATAATTCGGTAACAAAGTAAAGACACAAACTTTTAAAATATTCACAGGATCACAGAGATTCCCTAAAATATAAATAAGGGCTTTTTTTTTGTTGCTGGTGGAGTTACAAAGGACACACCCTCCTCATCGCCACCAAATCTGTCTGCATCTCAGTCTGCACTCCCGTCACCTTTGACCCCAAAAGTCTGGTGCATCACGAGAACGCACACAAGGAGACCCCACCATTTCCCTACCACAGCCTGCCAGCAGGGAAAGCAGACACTCACCGTTCTGCTGTCTGGTTTTGCAATGTCATGACGAACACGATAAGAACCCGACTAGTGGAGAAACGGCAGCTAATTTCAGACTTTCATCATCTAATCTATGAAGGAGGAAGAGTGTGCATTTGAATCATTCAGCATCACCCATATGTCTGACAAAACCCACTGTTCACTTTTCAATCACACTGGACTAAAAGTAAAAACGTAGCAGTGGATAATGGTTATTTTATTTTATATTTTTTTAAATGAAATGTGAGGCTGCTTTTGGGGATTACACAAAAACAAATTTTAGAAGAAGTTAAATATTAACCGTGAAAATAATTCTATTTTTAAACAGACATATTGGTGTGTTAATGCAATGTGCAATAGCAATTAAATAGTTAAATTTTATTTTCGTTACAAAAACTGTAACGAAAAAAAAAAACAAAAAAACATTTGGTTTTGAATATATTTGGAGCAGTAGGCTCAGTGCAGGGTCCAGTACAAAATTAAGAACCGTTGTTGAAGCAATAATTTAGGGTTTGCATCCAGAATAGCTGGACTGACAGCATTAATGCTAATATCAAAATTGCTAACAAGCTGAGCTTCTCAACACAGAGGCAGTCATGGATAGCAAACAATACAGCCGTAGCTTTCAGGGAGAATGTCTAGTGGCCAAATTTTAAGATAATATTGTGTCCAATATTAAATAGCTTAGCAATAATGCCAATGCTAAATTCACACTTGTTAGCTTGCCAAGTTTCTTAACATTGAGCCAAAGAATGACACATCTTAGAGGTGTTTTTCAGGAAAAAACAAACAAAAAACATTTAATGTCTAGTTGTAGAAACATATTTAAGACGTTTGTGTCTAGATTTACCTAGTTAAATGTTCAAGAAAAGGACTTGCTTGCTAGCTAGCTGAGCTTTTGACTCCAATCCAGTTTGGACAGAATGTCTTAGGAGGAAATTCAGTTCTTAGCTAAAAAAAAGAAAAAAAAAAAAGAGTGCAGCACAACATTCAAATCAGAATCAATAAAAAAAATGTGTGTGAAACCCACATAATTTTTGATTCAATTCAAAAATACTTTGTTAATCCAAGAGGAAAATTAAATGATGAAAGACGTAGCATTTTCTTCAAACAGTTGTTGTAAATGCTAATGGTTGTTGGCAGGAAGGATCTGGTCAGAATACACTTTGTTGTTGTGTGAAAACAATAAGTGCTGTGCATGGTGATTTATTACAACAGAAAAAGACATCAAAAGTTCATTTTATTTATTTTTTTCCAATAATGTTTAAGTCCTAACTACAGATATGTTTTTATTTTATTTTTGGGGTCTGTTAAGCAGAAGGCAAAACAGATGATTTAATCATGAAAGAAACAGTGAAATGCTTCTTAGTCATGGCTCTGCTACCCAGCAGGTATTCTTGCTGTGACGGGAAGATTTTCCTGCATTCATAAAACTTGATTGTGGTAATAAACACGTTTTATTATCATAAAACACAGCAAACTAATGGTGGTAGAGAGCGATACTGGGTTAACTCTGGGAATCTCATCTGTCCGTGTATCAATCAACTCCTAACCTCTTCTTTGTTCTGTCACAATGATCGATTTATTCCATTTAGATTATCATGCTCCAAACTTTGCGAGGACTGACCACCCAGCTCACCCGCTCTGTGTGGCTGCCACACAGATCCAGCAGCAGCCAGTAACCTTCCCATTCCCAACCAGGTGTCAAAGCCGCTGCTCCTGTCATATCAATAATTACTTATTTCATTCATATTGCTCTTATAGAGCCTCAGTGAAAACGTGTTTATTATTATTAACGCTTTGGTGCAAAAAACTGATTGAAAAATTGATTTATTTACTGCATGTTTATGTCTGTTAAGGCTAAGATGGAACGGCACAGAAAGCAGCCCTTTAAACCATTCAGACTACAAACACAATGGAGACACAATCAGATGACTGATTGCCCCGCGATGATAACTCAATAGTCCATGGAAAAACCTTATAAGCTTATATTAAAGCAGAAAGTACGGCGGCCACCGTAAAAAAGGCTGACAGTATCAATTATGCCGCATGAACTGATCAGTAGATTATTGCGAGGGAACGCTA